TGCCTACATTAGTAACCATTTTAACACCTGGATTGGTACAAACGGCACAATCAGATGGCCTGCGAGATCACCAGATCTCACCCCTTTAGATTTTTTTTGTGGGGATATGTTAAAAATCTAATTTACCTTAAATCCTATGCGAGTGTAAACGAGTGAAGGTTGAGGTTCAGAATACGATTTGTAAAACAATTCATCACAACACGTTATTAAAAGTTACTCAAAATGACTTCGTTAAAAGATTAAATTTGTGTATCCAAGAAAATGGAGCTCATTTCGAGCAACTAATTAGTTAGATTATAATTTTTTTTTGTTTTATTAAAATACGTTAAGTTTTCATGGTTTTTTTTACATTTAATTAACCAATTTTGTGAGAGAGATTTTATTCTTACAATTAAACTATTGATCGATGCAATAAAAGTGCAGGGTGCACTTTTTTCAGATAAAAGCGGGTTCGATTCCCGGGTGTTGCTAGAAATTTTCAAAAATCTATGAATGCAATTTTATTTCTTTTAAAAAAATAAAGGAATGTTTCCTTTAAGTAAAAATTTCTATCTCCAGCATTGACTTAATCTCCAGTATTTAAAGTACTTTCCCTCTAGGTGGCATTACAAATTTCTACCCGGTATATTGTTATTACCGGGTTGCCACAACATATTGTTTCGAAATATTAATATTGTATTGTTCAAAATATTACGAAATACAGGGTTTCAGTACTTACCCATGAAATAAAATCACTCCCAAATAATTTTTTAACGTTGCCTTCTTACGCGACATGATATAATGGCATATTTCTATTTTTTTTTTCACAAAACAATCTTGTACATTCGAACGATAACTGATGCGCTATTGACACTCATGGGAGCGTCTGCTCATAAGCTAGGTAGCGCGGGCCCCGCCCACTAATCAGTTTATTACTAGTATTTATTTGATCTGTGCTTGGATCAGATCTACTGTGTATAGTAAACAGAACTTTGAATTTTAATCTTATAAACCATAGAATGGAATTTCGAATGGTAAGTGTTCTGTAATACTTAAATATTTTATATTATATACACGTTTTAAGGTTTCATTAAAGAATGTGGTGTAAAAAAGAAAACAACAAACTTTAATCCAGTACAAATAAAGACTAACACGTGACAACACCAAGAACCAGAAAAGTTAAAGCGTTTGATGAGAGTACGTAATACACTTGAACTTTGTAGATTTGGTGAATGCAACCGACTACAGCATATCTGTTAATGAGACGCCAACTGAATGTTAAACAAATTACCCATACACATAATACGTAGATACATGGATAGATAAAATCATAACCTAAACTTTTCACATCATTCATCGTCTTGACTTCGCCAAAATTGCAAATATTCTGTAAAGTTTTCACCCCAAAATATACTGTAATCACCTCAGTTAATACCGTTATAGCATTATAACTAAACAACAAATATTATACTTAAAATATTTTTATAACACACGAAGTAATAAAAACAACGATAAGTGAATCATGATTGTTGATATATTCGCATAAGCTGAAATGTACACATTTACAATTTGTAAGGTAATGGTAAGGAAATTTGAAACCACTAGTGTCAAATGTACCGCCCATAAATGATTATTTCAAAAAAATGTTACTGCTGAATAGAGAGATAAGAAAACAAATGGCATACCTAATAGCGCATATTCAATTCTTATGATGCCAACTGCGGAGACTTTTTTCACGAAAGTTTTATTATCTTTTATCCATTTAACTGGATAGAAGTCGATGTCACAGCGCCTCAGTGTCGGTAATGCCTTGATTGCTCCTAACTTTTTAATTAAATCGCGATAAACCGAAAGAAATCCATTTCAATTATTTCCTTTTGTTTTGCCCACTTTCCAGATGATTCTTATTTAATAGCGTTGGAATTTTCACATGGATATTATGGCAGCGGTTATAACAATTTTAGTAGGTATTAAACTATAGTAAATATGGAGCAGTTTAAGGTTCTAGCTGAAACAATTATAATGCTAAAAAGTAAAAAGCGTTTACCGGCCTGCTGACATAAATCAAAAGAAATCATTTATACTGCATAATAAATCTGATATTTCAGAAGACAGTGGTAATTATTTAGTTAATAAGAGAAATCATTCTCGCTTTATTAAATTGTTGCTTTCCGATATTGCTATACGCTACCTACCCTGTACCTTACTGAAAAGATCAATAAACATAATCCCGTAATAACATTACTATTTTCAACAGTAAACACAGTGTTACCTGTATGTAGGCTTAAAAACTCCAATTTTGTTCCAGAAACCGAAGCGATAAATCAAAACACAGTAACAAAAATGCTGGCACGAGAATCCGTTGCATTCAAAGCAAGAGAGCGATTGGCATACCATTCGATAGCCGTTCGATAGTACTTGAAAAAAATCCAACAGTTTCGTGAATTGTTAAACTGCTTGGCTTCTTATATATGTCGATATTTCCTAACCTAAATTAAACGACATAATTATGAAGTTATTAAAAGTGCCTATATAATACTGAGTAAAGAAGATATGATTATAAGAAATAGGAGTAAACTAATTATAATTTTAAGTGATTTATGAAAAAGCTAACACTGTAGCATAAAGTGCGTACAGCTAATGTACTTTAAACGAACTGAGGCTAATTATAATGTTGAAAAACATTGATTACTTATTAGGTACCTCTACTAGTGTTACTAATAGCGTAGCATAGATGCTAGCGCCACAATTCATGCCTTAGATAAGTTGGTTAGCCGTAGTCATACATTCCAACACACACACTGTTTTAGTATATTCGCATTTCCAGTCTTTTAAACAATAGTGATAATCCAATAGCAATCGCTGATATTCAACTCTTGTTGCTTTGTTTAAGTACAATTAATTTATTAAATATAATATTATCACTATCGAATGATTCAAAATTCAACTCAAGTGAGAACTTTGAAAATACGTTCGCTGAGGCAAACTTCTACAACAACTTAACGCCTACGTCGGTGACTTCTGTGCACCTGCGCGAAACTTACAGATTTAAAATTAGACTTGATTTGCAGTCTTCCTATCCAACTACTACGAAGTGTATAAAAATGGATAGTAATTTTAACATTTACCTAGCAGTTTTTCATAGTAAATGTGAAATTTGATTTGTAATGACAGAATAACGATAAAAGTGTCTTCTACTTGTGATTCTATACAGGAATAAAACTTCATCATCAGGTTCCAATTTTAATACTAGATGTGAACATTTATAAAACTAATACATATGCCACTATTTATGTTTAATAATTTAAAAATATTACTCGCCTAAGTCAAGGGAGTGTAATTAAAATATATCGATGAGAAAAAGAATTAACGAAGCTATGAAAAAGAAATATTTTATTAATAATAATCTGCTTTAATAAGCAGACTGTATTATGAAGAAACTTTTGCAGTAGTTGTCAGCGAGTCCTTCTTGACAAACTTCTGTATAATATTATTTGAACAGCGGGAATCGAAGGAAAACTTGGAGACTCCATTGAACTTATGCTCGCAGTCGAGACGAATTTACATTTAAATGAGAACGATTATTCCCTTGTTTAAAGGAGTTATAATGCATTCTTAATTTTCATATCCACGCAACGCCATTAACATTAATATACAGGCTGTCTACGCAGCTAGCGTCAAAACATTAGGGATATAAACCCCTAGATCATTATTGTTGCGAACCGGTCTTATACCCGCTCGGCACGAGACGCGGGGGAGGACAACACGGCGAACGGCAGCGGCGCAGGGGCACTCGCCTTAGCGACAGCCACCGGCGACGGTCGACCCCTATTCATGTATTATAAACGTGTGATTGAGACGGCGAATATACCAGTCCTATTGTAATACAGTCCACCTTTATTTCACGTTCCTTAGGACCCTAACTTGGTCCTTCGAGCCGGATTCTCACCGTCTTAATTAAAAGTGTGGTCAACGTCATCAACTCATCATCAAGACTCGAAGTTTTACAGTGTGGTCTTCAGCTGCAGAAGATACCTCGAGGAGCCTTCTTCATTATTATCCTGTGGAGTATACTTCGTCAAGCAACCGCACAAGCCCGAGAACTGAAAGTCATTTTGAGGTTGAACGCGCGACGGACTTTGGACCCATCTAGAGTGCGTGTCATCGTGAGGATAATGGAATGAGCTGATCATCTACGATTAATCTAGGAGACGGTTTGGATGTTCATTTGTGAGTTCGTTCCAATTTTCTTTTTATCTTTTCCTTTCTTTAACATTTCTTTAAATTCAAAAACAGCCTTTATTTAGTGAGTGCCTTGTCATTTATGCCTTGCTCGCAACACATCAATCTCTCATCCACATTTTAAATCAATTTTTATTTCATACGCTTAAAGCAAAATTTTGCGTAATTTGAACTACAGGAATTCAAATAACGGTAACTAGTTTACGTAACTCGCTCGCTTCTTATCATCGTCAGCTTACCAGTCCGGTTTGCTTGCACATCTGTTCTTTTGTTCTCCTAACGAGCTAATATCCCGCAGTATTTTATTGCCTTATTGAATAGATTTTATTTATTTTGTTGCACATTACCGCTATATAGCTATGGCTGAAGAAAAGTTGATAGTGACGTGAAACAGTCAATTCAACGTGACTTTTACGTTGATGATTATTTAGGCGGTTCGTCAACTGTTGAAAACACTGTGAAGCTTTGCAAAGGAGTCATAACCACTTTAAAAACCGCCAAATTCAATTTAAGTAAAATTTCAGTCAAATAGTCAAGAAATTCTTCATCAAATTACGCCTTTATTCTGTCAATCAGACGACGTCTTAGATATCTCAAACAGTGACATGCATGCGTCACCAAAAACTTTAGGTTTAAACTGGATCTGCAATTGAGACATCCTATCGTATTCTATAAATATAGAATTTTGTGAAAATGTATCTAAGCGACACATACTTTCAGTCATCAGTCAAATTTTCGACCCACTGGGCCTCGTGGGACCGTGTGTTGTCGAAGCCAAAATGATAATGCAGAGGTTGTGGATCGAACAATGTTCATGGGATGAAGAGGTCTCACAAGAGATGCAACAACTATGGCTGTCATTTGCCAACACGTTACCCCTTCTTAACCGATTACAGGTTCCTCGCTGGATTTTTACAAATGACCCTGTTTTCCATGAAATTCATGTTTTTTCAGACGCATCAGAGCGAGTGTATGGGGCTTACCTCTACATCCGCTCCGTAGATAAGAGTAGAGTAGAGTCAATAAAGCCAACAACAATACCTGGTCTCGAACTACTCGCGGCTCTTCTGGCTGTAACGTTGTGTACCAAAGTATTATCATCTTTATCATCATTTGCAGATTCTGGTGTGACTCAATGATTGTATTAGGGTGGTTATCTACATCACCTACTAATTCTTAAAAGTTTTGTTCGCAACCGTGTGCATGAAATACAGGAGAGCACAGAGAATTATACGTGGAGTTACGTACCGTCGAAGGACAATCCGGCGGATCTTGTTTCTCGATGGCTGAAGGCTGATCTCATCAGCGATTCATCGTTATGGTGATCGGGGCCACCTTATTTATCAAAAAATAAAGCTTTTTGGCCTAAAATGCAGAACGTTAGCGTGAAACAGGATCTACCCGAGTTGATTACTTGTTCTTTCGCGCTTGATAATAATGCTGATAACGCTGACTTAATAACTAACTTAATCAAAAATAAATCTAAATTAACAAACTTACAAAACACGATAGCATATTTACAAAGATTTGTTTACAATTGCCGGCATCCAACAAATAAATTAAATAGACATCTTTCAGTTCATGAACTTCAAAACTCATTAAAATTAATCATACGTAAATCTCAGTCGGAAATGTTCCCTGATGAATATGCTATTTTTAGAGCCGGGAAGGCTCTGCCTAACAAAAACCGATTGATTGCTTTAAGTCCATTTATAGATTCTGATGACATAATTAGGGTTAATGGGAGACTAGACAATTCTCCTTACAGTTACGAAACAAAACACCCAATTTTGTTATGCAGCAAACATCACTTTACGCAAATGCTTTTTCAACAATATCATATTAAATATTTACATGTACCCCCTCAACTTATGTTAGGAAATATAAGACAAACTTATTTGGCCTTAGGTGGCAAAAACCTTTCAAAAAGTATCGTCAATAAATGTGTGCGATGTTTCAGACACAAGGTTGAAACTGTTCAACCTATCATGGGTCAGCTGCCAGTTTCTAGAACGGAGCTAGAGTTCCCATTTTTATATTATAGCGTTGACTACGCTGGGCCAGTATTGGTAACAGACCGAAAGGGTATAGGTTGCAAAGTAATAAAATCTTTTTTGGCAATCTTTATTTGCAATTCGGTTAAAGCCTGTCATATCGAACTCGTTACGGCTCTATGTAGTGAAGCGTACATAGCCGCCTTAAATCGTTTTGTTTCACGTCGCGTCAAGCCTGAAAGCATCACGTCTGACAACGGTACCAATTTCGTTGGTACTTGTAACGAGCTAGCTCAATTCCTCGTACAGTCGGACCTAGAAGGTCGCATTGCTCAAGAAGGCATCGAATTTAAATTCGTGCCGGCTTATACACCCCATTTCAATGGCTTAGCTGAAGAAGCCGTTCGTTCTACAAAACATCACCTTAGACGCTTGTTACAATTAACTCATTTGACCTATGAGGAGATCGCTACATGCCTCATTCAAATAGAGGCTGTACTAAATTCTCGTCCCCTCACCCCTCTTTCCACTGATCCCTTAGATTTTTCCGCTCTCGCTCCTGCTCACTTTTTAATTGGACGCTCACTTATGTCCGTTCCTCAGCCGCAGGTTCCTGATACGAACATCAACCGCATCGAGAGATTCAGACGAGTTGAGCTGCCGAAACAACACTTTTGGAAGCGTTTTTCCTTGGAGTACGTTACATTGCTTCAAGAAAAGTCGAAATGGCGAACTTCATCTAAGGAGCTAAAACTTGACTCTCTTGTTTTCGCCAAAGACAAGGCGTTGCCACCACTACTGTGGTCTTTAGGCCGAGTTACTCAGCTCTACCCTGGCAGTGATGGAGTCACTAGAGTCGCGGAGTTAAAAACTAAGAGAGGCACCATACGTAGAGCCTTTAATAATATTTGCCCTCTTCCAGTTCTTTGAAGTCTTCACGCTTCGACCCGGGGGCATGTTGCGAACCGGTCTTATACCCGCTCGGCACGAGACGCGGGGGAGGACGACACGGCGAGCGTGACGTCACGGCGAGCGGCGCAGGGACACTCGCCTTATCGACAGCCACCGGCGACGGTCGACTCCTATTCATGTATTATAAACGAGTACACGTGTGATTGAGACAGCGAATATACCAGTCCTATTGTAATACAGTCCACTTTTATTTCACGTCTCTTAGGGCCCTAACAATTATTGTAAATACACACTTGATTGAGGGTCTCGGATTTCTTGAGCTAACGTTCGATTCGAGTGGTCTTAGAAAGCTACTCTTCCGAACATATGGCGATAGAGTTCCTCAGGGTTCCGTACTGTCTACAACACTCTTTCTGCTGCATATCAATGATATGTTAATTCCAGGTACCATTGCGTATGCTGATGACAACACAGTAAGAAGATAGGTACTTGACCAATGCAAGGGGCAGTGGAGAGGAAATCCAGTCATGTCGAGAGTCCATGGTCAGCCGTTTGGATTTCAGAGCCAAGGCAGTCTCCGATTGGGGTGTTGCCAATCTTGTCAAATTTAACGCTACCAAAATGCAGGAGTGTCTATTCTCCACAAAACGGAGTCCCTTTGAGCTGACTCCAACTTTTCGTGATATATTCATACCCATAGGCGACTGTCTTCAGCTACTTGGAATTTACCTGTCGTCCAATTTGAATTTCGGCAGATACATTTAATCCATGGCCAAAAATGGGCACACATTTCAAAACGTGACCTTACATTTGTACTAACATAATATAATTTGGATTGGTTATAAATTATCAAACGAAATTAGACAATAATAAAAAAGTTTTGGTAAAAAAATTCAAACTTATTTGAATCCAACAAGATTTTACTGTTACTAGTCATATGAAGCTAAGAATCCTATGAACATCACCTTCTTGGAACAAAAGCAAAAAGTTGACAATCTACAGATAGGGATGTGAACAGATTAAATTGATATCGACATTACGTTTCATAACTAGCGGAATATTGAACTAGGCATTGCTTTATACTTGTTATAATTACGGTTAACCAAGGAGTATATGGAAACGACATTTAAAGCAATTTCTTCGAGAACTAGCATAGCTGACTTTTACGCGCACACATTTGTTACTAAATACGTATAAAGTTTTACTACACACAAATATTAATTGATGTTAGCTACGCAGGCGTGTGCGTATAGTGGTAGCTACACGCTACAATCATAGCATTAATGATTTATTGTACTGTCATCATACTAGATCTCTGATCATACTAGATTTCGAGTCTATCCGATCGCTGTACGGGTTGAATATTAAAACAATCATCATAAAAATCACTTGTTTTTACATTGTGGCGTCATTTTAGAAATTGGTTGTCTACATCACCATGGATTTAACTCGTGAACATTTTCGTAGTACGATTTTCTACAACTTTAAGTGTAAATGAACAGCTCGACGGAGCTTCGCTAGGCTTCAAACTGCTTTTGGCAATGAAACACCAAGCAAAACGACTATTTATAGCTGGTTTGCAGAACTCAAACTCGGTCGTGTGAATCTCAGTGACGAATTTCGTGGTGGTCGCCCGTCCACTACAAAAACATCGATGCTGTGCGCCGTATGATCAAAACAGACAGGCATGTGATGTACCACGAGATTCGGGCATCTTTAGGCATAAACATGAGTCAAATATAATGAATACTACACAAACATTTGGGTGTGAAAAAGCTGTGCTCTCAGTGGATCCCACACAATTGTTCTGAGGCTCAAAAAACGAATCGCGTCACTTGGTGCAATGCCATGCTTACCAGATTCAAGGAAGGGGCGTTAAATTTGGTGTGAAACATAGTAACAGGTGACGAAATATGGATTTATAGTTAAGATACCAAAAAAAAGCAGCAATCGAGCGTACGGATCTTTCGACATGAGCCAAAACCAACCAACGTGGCGCGCGTGCAAAGTGCCTCTAAGCGGATGATTGCTTCTTTTTTAAATACAACTGGACACGTGGCTACTGTTGCTTTGGAGAATCATCGTACCGTGAATAGTGATTGGTACACGACCATTTGTTTGCCGGAAGTTATTGACAAACTCCCTAAAAATAACCGAAAACGCCGTATCATCTTGCACCACGATAATGCCAGTTCTCACACGGTCAGACAGACAAATGAATTTTTAAAGGTGAACAACGTTGACCTTATGAGCCATCTCGCGTACAGTCCCGACCTAGCACCATGTGACTTTTATTTATTTCCAAAGATTAAACTGGTTCTTAATTTTTGGAAATAAATAAAAGTCGCGGCCAACTATCAAAACTCAAAATTGGTTCATTCGTATGGAAAACCGCATTAACGCTAACGGAGAACATTTTGAGAAAAAATAAATTAATTTCTGACCATTTATAGCATTTCTTTGTCATTCATTCCAGAAACTTATAGTGCAGCCCACGTATTTGTTCAACAATTACCTCTTTCTGAACTGACTTAACATAACAACACCTACAGCACCGACGAGCTTGTCAAGAAAATGAAGATACTTATTTCCGAAGGCGAAGAAGCGAATCATTTGTTTCAAGAAAACTTGACGAAATATAACTGACAATGTTTCAAAAATGTTTTCACATTTAGATGAGGTCTATAAATTGCGAAGGCGACCCTGAGTTTCATGTCGTATATTACCCGATTAACCAAATTATTTATTTCTTGCGTGAGAATTGCCCCTGCTTTTAGAATTTTTCTATTGTTTTTCATAGGTATATAATCTGATGTCATAAAATGCCTATAGCATGGCGTTTCATTTAGTAGGTACCCAGCTTTTTCTGCCTGTTGCGTCAGTCCATTTCTAATTTAAAAAGGATCTGGCGGGAAACTAAAAAAATCAAAACAAAATTGCATATATGGATTATGTCTGTGACAAAACTAAGAACGTAATTAATTGAGCGTCATTCGAATTGTTCTTTTGACGGCGGCGATGGCTAGCAATCAATGTATATTATTATAAGCGGGTTGCCACAACATATTCTTGTATTGAAATATTAATATTGTACCTATTGTTCAAAATGTTACGAAATTCGGAGTTTCAGTACTTACTCATGAAATTAAATCACTCCCAAAGTATTTTTTAAACGTGGCCTTCTTACGCGACACGATATAATGGCATATTTCTATATTTTTTCACAAAACAATCTTCTTGAACATTCGAACGACAACTGACGCGCTATTGACACTCATGGGAGCATCTGCTCATAAGCTAGGTAACGCGGACCCCGCCCACTAACCAACCGATTACTACTATTTATTAATTATTTTAACCGATTACTATCGTTGCATTGGCTTTTATTTTCGAAAAAATGATTTCAATTGGTTCCAATTGATCCTAAAAAAAATAAAAGTTCACTCCTGTAAAACTACAAGAAGTATTGTTGACCTTTTTTTACGGTTTTGCTACCCCGCCTAAATACAGGCCACTAATATTTTAATGACTGGAAGCTGTACGTCATTCCACGATTCAATTTTTTAGACATGATGATACTTGCAGAAAATAGAGTTTGACGATCAAGAACGATATATTTGGTGATTCAAGCTTTTCTTCGCGGAAATGTCGCGAGCTATTTCCAAAACAAGCTTACAGTCAGATTCGATAAATAGATCGACCATCCTGAGAGAAATTCCAAGGGTTTGTCCAATATATATTTAATGATAAATTTGAAGTGGACAGTGGATATTTAGTTAGTTTACTGCATGCTGTCTGTATATACAATCAGTTTTAATGAGTTGTGAATTATTTCGCAGGAGCCTTCTTTGGCCGATACTCCACAGAACGCTGTACATAGGGTATCATGGGGTAAGCCTCTAGAATTCATACTTGCTTGTATGGGCTACGCCATCGGTCTGGGGAACGTGTGGCGGTTCCCATACCTCATTTTTAAGAACGGAGGTGGTAAGCTATATCAAACTTATTCTACTTTATTAAAATCATAGACCAGCATTGAAAACTAAACTATTAAATCACAGTACATTGAAGATTAAAACATGATTGAACAATAAAAGTTTTGAAGAATACAAATTTTGGAAATGCAATCAAATTATTATTATTACTATTGACAAGCATTTTCTTGTTGCAGGTGCTTTCCTAATACCGTTCTTGATCATGTTGGTCTTTATCGGTCTTCCTCTTTTCTTCCTCGAGTTATACATTGGACAGTACACTGGTTTAGGACCAATAAAAGCGTTTGCTGCTATAGGACCTTTCTTCAGTGGCTTGGGAATCTGTACTTTAATGGTCATGACTTTAATTTGTGTATACTACATGATCATTGTAGCTTGGACTCTTTTTTATGTTTTAGTATCTGTAGCTGGAAATCTTAATTGGGGGTCGTGTAATAACTACTTCAACAGTGATAGTGAGTATTTAACTTCGTCTGCTTTAAATAGAAATTTCTTGAATATTTTAACCGTAGTATGTTTACGCAACAAAGTTTACAAAATCACACGTTTTTCAGATTGCTACAGTGGGCAATACGACACTTTTTGTCGATTACACAATAATAATACTGTACATGATCTTACTTATTTTCATAGGCAATGCATCAGTATAAAATCAATTTGTATTGAGAAAGAATTGATAGAATTCAATGCTACGCATTGTGTAAATGGATCGATACCTCAACTTTGGTACACTGGACTTAACCGAATTTTGGCATCTGAGGAATATTATAAGTAAAAAATAATTATGGTTCGCTCAACAAAATAATTTATTTTAAAAATGTTGTCGTTTTGATTACAAATGAGTTTCAATATTACAGTGAATACGTGCTCGGTAAAGGTAATGCTACTTGGGATGACTTCGGACCCGTTCAATGGCCATTAGTTGGCACCCTTTTCTTTTCATGGTTTATTGCCTTCCTCTGTTTTATTCAGGTACCTCGTGTTAACATTTTAATTTGTATACAAACTTTGGTATTGTAACGATAAACATATAATTCATGGTGATAATAGTCGTTTGTAAGATGAAATATATAAATACGTAATACGTACAATCATATACACAAGATACTTGACCCCCCCAAGCCGACTTTGTCGACCTTTTGGTTCTGAGCACAAAAGTGTGGAGAAAATTGGTAAACAAACTTAATCTTTAACCTGTGAGCCGTAAAACTTTATTTTGGTATGACTCCCTGGTCGTCTCATTAATGAATGACATTTTAAGAAAGTTTTTATGCGAATTTGATATTTAACGTATGGTTCTTACTTAAATGCAGAACACAAATTTCAACCAGCTTTAGTAACGCCGTCGTGGCCAAACGGTATAAGGATTGCTTTGCAAATTGAGGCAAGCATGGTTCGAGTGAAACATGGTTCATGGTTCACTTTAAAAATAAAATATTCTTTAGCCATAACTATATAATATTGTTTTTTTTTTTAACGTCTGGATAGGTTAAAGGTTAGATGTAAGGTTTGTCTAAGTCTTGTTCATACAGAACAATAATTTCTAATTTTAACAATTCCATTAAGTGTTTGTTAAAACAAGAAAGAATACTTTGAAAGTCACTTAAACCTTAAAAGTAACTAAAACTGAATAGACAAATAGGAACGAAACGTGGAACAAAGCGTAATCACAGAAGTCACGATCGTATATAAACTGCAGAACGATTTCGTGATTTGTTATACTATCCATACCCACCCTAGGCTTTACTAATAATATCTACTCGTCCACCTTAGGCAATTTCCAGTGAACAAATATTGTGATGTGATTAAAAAGTGAAACAATGCTGTTAAAAATATAATGCTAATACAAAACAGTGCTCGTGGAATCGAACCACGGGTATTGTTAATGGCAGTCGACACAAGCCGCTCGTCCTATTTACTTGGAAGTTAAATGACGAAATTTAGTATTGGTTTTAAAGATATGTTGCTTGAGATATCTTCAAGCAACACTCCACTGTATTGCTTACTCTATAAAGTTGAAATTCCTTTTTCCAATACGTAAGATGGCTCTCAGGACCAAAAGGTCGGTTTGGGCATGTTACGTGGGTAAGGTAGATATCCATAGATATAGAAAAAAAGGGGAGATTTGGTATGTGGGCGTGGTTCGTGTCACCTCGATATGATCAAAATGAGCATATCGAGGTGACACGCCTACAAACATCGCCACAGTGACATGGCGATCGCTGTACATACAAGATCTCTCGTAAAATATGAAAATGCAAAGTTGTAGCGATACATCTTGTAAAAATTGTAGTGAAAACAAAAATTTTAAAGCCAGTGATATAACATTCCACCGGCTATTTGCATTTAGTTACTATTTCTATTATAATTCAATGTTTTCTTTTTGCCTCCATAAAATTTCTACACTCAAATATAGTGATGTTCATTTACGATGACTGATCTTTGTCGACAATATATTTTTACTGAAATGTTCGAATTTCTTATATGATTTTTGTAATTAAAGTCCCTAAAATATCGAAGCGAAAAGCATTCACGTTAAATTGATTTCTTTTATTCTATTATATCTATTTAGTCTCTCGCCTCTCCCAAGGCCTAAAAGATTAATTTTGAATTTTCAATTGGGAGGGGAGGTATGTTCCCGGCAATGGCACAGTCGGCCGGGGTCAGGGTTATTATTATTATTACTAAACGTTTTATTTCGAGTAACTTTAACACAACTCGTATTTCGGACAACCGTTTCAATTTCATGTCAATTTGTATATTGCTGTTGCTTGAAGTAAAATGTATGTGTATTATTGTTTTAGATAATTTAGATATTTAAATTACGTTATACTCGTAGATTAAACGTAGAGTATTTTTAATTTTTAGGTTTTTCCAATGAGTTCAAAATTTTTATTTTGAACTCATTGGAAAAACTTAAAAATCTCTAAATCAACATCTCGTTCTTTTAGAAAGAGAGGTTGGATTAAAGCTGCAGGAAAATCGAAAGATTGGTTTTCTTATTATTATTTCTGATTTTGTTTAAATTTCCATAGCAAATGCATTTAAAAAATAAATAAAATATTGTAATATAACTCTTACTCAAGTGACTGTAACTTTAATTTTGTTAAATTTTAAATAGTGTTACGTCGTTTTTACGTTTTAAGCCTTACCCAATCAAAATCTTTAAGTTATGGTAATAGGTAATAGAGCGTCAAGTTTGAATTGCACATAAGCTAAAAAGTGGCGACATCGGTACCCGATCTTACATAGCATAATTACATGTCTCCCCTTTTTTCCTATATCTATGGGTATCTCATGTACATATATGACTGTACGCTCGCATGAACGTATATAGACTTAATTAAGTCTAAATACGCTCTTGTACTTAAAATAAAATTGTATTGTAATTATGTAATTATATGTATACCATAGACCAGGACAAGAGTACCCGTAACCCATGAGTGTGTATGAAAGCATTGATGCGTATTGATGAGACGAAAAATGTGTGTGAGGATCGTAGCAAGCCCCCAATGAGAAAAAGGCGTGAAGTGTGTGTATGTATGTGTGAAAACAAATAAATGTATTGTTTCAGGGGGTCAAATTAATGGGCAAGGTAGTGTATTTCACAGCACTGTTCCCATACGTAATGTTGACTGCTTTGTTTATCAGAGGAGTCACTTTGCAAGGAGCTGTAGATGGCATTAAGTTCTATTTAATGCCAGATTGGAAAGCGCTTACACAACCTGCAGTATGGGGTGACGCTGCCTCGCAGGTATGTCACTATTAAGTTGATGTCCAACCATAATGTAGTTTGTACGAAAATAAAGTTGGGGCGTATTTCTTTATCTAATAACTTTATAAGTACCTAAACGTTTCTAAAACCAAACAAAACTTGATTAAAGGTGCGTAAGGTACAATATTTTTATTTCGCTGAAATCACCTAAAAATTTACAAAAGTCGCTAATACGGCCCTTTGTCTAATGGAGTGGAGAAGAACTGTGTTTCAGCAACGAGGTAAATCTTTTCCTAGCCCTATCGGATTTTGCTGTTACTATGAAATAATGCACGGTATATATAAAGCTTAAAGTCTTGTCAATTAGCTTGTCAATATAGACCGTAATAGCTTTGACTTTAAATTAAGAATTCACTGATCGCTTCTAGAAGTGAGTTGGAAAGCTATTTTCAACATCGTTTTGAATAAATCTCCGCTTGGCGTCAAGCCGTTTGTGTATTTAAAAGTACTAAAAAGCGTTTGAGTTGAAAATCTGGTTTTCACAGTAAGACCGTTTTGTGGCGAACGGATAAGTGGCGTGATGATGTCGAAATGACAGTTTACTGTTGGTTGTTAAACGCATAGCTTTATTCTGCTTCCTTTATAAAGATACAATTGTCCTCAATTTGCTCACGAATGAAATATATGTATGTAGTTGTCCATTTCTTAGTTTTTCGCGATTTTTACACATTCGAAAGCAATTTTTTCACTAAATAAGGTGGTTTGTATTGCAATTGCAATCTCAGTTAGCTGCGACCGTCTCCCCGAGGGGAAAAAGGCGTACGTTTCAAACCCTGAATACGTCCCATACATATGTATGTATGGGACGTATTAGTTAGTTTGTTTGAAAAAACAAATATACGCGATTTCAATCCGAAGAAATAGTTTCTTCTTTAAATATGGTTAGTTTTAAATAAATTAGAATATATTAAATTATGTCTGATGATTCGGTGAGCAATGAATTCAAACTAACAATGTTTTGAATTAGGAAATGTGATTTACTCAACAATCGACTATACAATAGTCCGACGAGGTTAAACAAAATTGGATAGATAAATTATTTGTATTAAGATGACTTACTCATAGAACCTTATTCGGTAGACGATCAATGTCTAGCGTACAATCATTAATCACAGCTTCAGGATAGATTGAAAGCATTAATGATACTTCGAAAACCTTTCCACCGCCTAATTAACTAGTTAACTTCAAATAGAAATCTATTTAATTTTTATAAAAGAAGTATTAAGTACCAATTACGAACTTCAGTGACTTACTTATAGTTTTATAGGAGCTTCAATTAACTTTGTTTAAGTAGTATACAATGAAAATATTGCTACAAATAAAACCTTAATACAGCTTTACTAATCTTATAATACAATACATTTGGATATGAATGGGCAAAAACTTTGGTAATTAATTCAGCACCTTGATCACCTTATTGGGATTTCTCTATTTCGTTTTATTTGACACTGAAGATTCGTATGCGTAGTGAGTTCCAAATGTCATACGACAGTAATAACGCAATAACATAACTGTTACACCCAATATCGAACTAGTTTGAATTCTTGAACATTTACATAAAAATTATTGTCCACAGATTTTTTATTCCTTTGGAGTAGCTTGCGGCTCTCTGGTCACACTAGCTTCGTACAATAACTTCTACAACAATAGTTACAACGACGCAGTATTTGTTAGTCTGGCAAACTTTTTAACTTCTTTCTACGCTGGCTTTGCTATATTCTCCGTTCTCGGATTCCAGGCGTATAAAATGGGCGTCAGCATTGATGGTGAGTTGAATTAAGAAATTACGAAATAATAAGAAAAATATGCTTTACAAATCAAACTGAAGAGGATGGAAAACGGTGTGGTACCACTGGTCCGTGTTTTTGCCAGTTAGTTAGTCTTGAAAATAATATTAATTCGAATTATTGTTACACCCAGACATTGCTGATAGCGGCCCAGGCTTGGCGTTCGTGGCGTATCCAGAAGCGTTACTTCAAATGCCCTTACCTATATTTTGGTCGATCCTGTTTTTCTCAATGTTGTTCGTCTTGGGCATTGGCAGCCAGCTTGCTGGTATAGCAGCAATTAAATCGGCAATTTTGGATTACTGGCCTATGAAAGGAGAGTGGAAGGTTAATTGCAGTTTAATTCTTTATACATTTTATATAATTAAATTGTTAAAAAGCAATAAAATACTCAACAGTATTTGCTTATAATAAACAAAAACCGACCTCAAAAGTCCGTGGAATTACATTTATTTGCCAAGTTTTATTGAGATCGGTTATCGGAAAGTGCACGAAACCGGTTCATCCTCTAGTTTGCCATCCTTAGAGGTGGAATATTTTCTTCATATTTATTTAAATGGGGTAATACAGAGGTAACCTTTTTCCAACAAAAAATAATCCTCAAAATCGGTTCGCAAAATCCCTCCGTTTTTTGAAGTCGGTTAAAAATATCATCAACCCATTTCGTCAGTACATCCCACTGCTGTGTACAGATCTCCTTTCAGACGAGGGTTTACACTTTAGACCAAAGTTCGCCACACTGGCCCAATGCGGGTTGTGGACTTTCATGTTTTCAGAGTATTGTGAGCCGTCTTCGACGAGCGGGTTACATGAGGATGTTTTCCTTCACTGAAAAGCTCATGGTAAATTTCAAATGAAATTTCGATTTGAAGCCATGACCTCTGCTTGAAAAGCGGTAGGCAAAAAGTATCCGTATAAATAAAAAACATATTAACTTTCATTTTATTTAGCTTTCAGCATTCATTTGTTTTGTTTTATTCGTCCTGGGAATCCCGATGTGCCGGAGTGGAGGAATATACTTACTAACCGTAGTGGACTGGAATACGGCCTCCTGGGGTGTTCTTATTATTGGCGTATTAGAAGTACGTTGTTCTATTAAAACAGACTGTTTTCTACATTGCATGACATAAACCTAGCATATAAAGTAAAACATAAAACTCCCTTAAGAAACTTTTGGTTTTGGTGATATGTTATCACCAAAACCGATAACTCAAAAGGACTGCTGCAACAGCGTAGTCCGATATTTAGTACCTATTGATACACTAGATGTCGCGACGAGTACCAAATTGCTATTTATGTAACTAATTCGTTTTACATTGACAAGCTGCAATGTATCAACGCTACTCTAATTTCTTGTGATAACGAACAAAGGTACTAGATGGCACCTATTGCTCAGATTTGTTATGGATAGTATCGGCTATTATTTCGTTTAGGATTAGCTCAATCTACCCATACCTAATAGGAAGTTAATTTATAAATTAGTTTGTACATAGAATGCCATCTATTGACACGCATATATGTTAAAATTCAGAAAATAATTTTACTTTTTGATCAATATTGAAATAATATTTTATAAGAAAAAAACTTGACTTTATGTTTCATATTAAAGAGGAGTTAATAATTGATATTCATGGCCATGTACACAATATAAACACTTTCAGGCTATTGATCTAGATATAAGACGGAATTTTTACCTTTTTCCGAGTTACAACCTGTATGTAGTATGTAGATTAGCAGTCTTCTCGAGTTATTATTGGTTTTATGATGATAGCAACCCGAAGTTGCACGCTTGGTATAATAAGACCACATCCTGTAAAATGACAACTTTTCAGGAGAGGATTTAAAGATTCTACGAATGAAATTTGTCGTAGAATCTTTTTTAACTTTTTTAAAACTTTTTTATGCACGACCCCCCACACTAGCGTCTTTCAAGCGTCAGCGTCTTGCCAGCGCACGCACAGCGTCGACACAACGCCTACCTGGCGGAGTGCTGAGTACCGAACGTCGGGTAACGTCGCCGCTCTGGCGTCGCGTCTGCGCAACGTTTTTTGCGCTTCAGTTATATCTCTACAATGTCAGAACCAAAGAGTACATTATATATGCTGATATAGAGTTATCAGCTCAATTCATACCTAAGAGCCCCATGCGGGTAACACCAGAACTATTTTTTTCCTGTACATACATGTATCTATAGGTTCATTCTTTCTACTGGGTTCTCGGGGGCGTTTTATTTTTATTAGGGATATTAAATTTAACGAACATTAATTTAAAATGATACAATTTTTTTGTTTTCAAATCACGTTCCTATATTTCTTTTTTCAAACATTTATTCAATGAAAATCAACTTTGACGTGACTTAAAAAAACAATAAAATTATAAGTCAATTACAAACATCACTCGATAATATTAAAACAACATGATAAGTATCGCTAATGTTACTAAGAGGATAGAAACCAAGCCGAGGTCAACAAAATAGCACTATAATCGGGAAAGCAGGGGTCAACAGTTAAAACACAGACACAAGAATCCAAAAACACAGCTCAACAGTCTTAAACCAAGTAAGGAATCCCGAACACACTCGATGACGGACGGAGACGGGATAAACAAATTGAGATATTGATGCCATTACTACTGTTTAAAACTTTGCTTAAAACAACACAATTTAAACCGTAACTTCAACAACCCGCCATTTTTGTTAAAATCACAAACCAATAATAGATAAGTAATACAAGATAAAATGACGTTGACATGACTTTGACAGCTCAGATTACATTCCTTTCCAAACAAAATATTATTCGGTTTCATTTAAGCTTTATTATTACGAAGCTGCATTATTATTAATATGAATGATATAATAAGCTCCAATGTGTTTGGAGATAACAAAATAATTGTTTTTATTATTACTTTTCTGTCGTAATAGTGGTAATATGTAATATACAATATTAATCAAGAACAAAGTAAATGTGTCAAATGAAATTTAGTGGACACCATTTTCTTCTTTGTTGCAATAATTTAATCTTTTATTATTTTATTGCAAATTATACAAAAATAAAAACAAATTTGAAATAAATTTTCCCCTTATGAAATATATTTCGGGTTCTGAAAAATTATATTAAAATTGTATGGCCCATAAAAAAGGAGATTCCATCGCCATCTATTGATTCACGAAGTAACTGTTTTTATGTCGCCATGGACATACAGAGCAAAAATATTCATAGTGATTAGGCCGTGATCACAACGGTACTGGAGTTGGAGAGAAGCGCTAGTGCGTTGTGCATTTGTATGTACTTCTCCGCAAAAAAACGTTGCGCTGGCGCGGCGCTGCACTGTTGCGACGCTAGCGCGGTGTTTACTCGACATTCGGTACTATTCGGCAGTCGCTCAACACTCGCGTTGCGTCGCCGCCACGCAGACGTCGCGCCGACGTTGTGCATGTGCTGGCAAGACTCTGACGCTCGATAAACGCTCGAAAGACGCTAGTGTGGGGAGGTCTCTAAGTAGGAGGGTTATAAAATTTCACGTATACACAATTAGCTTCATTTAGTTCGTATTATTTTTTACTTTCTTGTGATAAAAGCACATTTTAAGTATGATCACATATGCGAAGTGTAGTTTTCAAATAAGGATGATTATCACTAATTCCTACAGGTTTCCTGCCACGATATGATTTCTTTTTATTTTCACGATATTTCGGAACGGTTACACGCTGCATCAACCCGTGACTATGGAAAATCGTTTAGTGAATCACCATGAAAGCCTTAAAATCTATATTAAACTAAGTATTTTTTAGTGCGTATCAGTATCCTGGAGTTATGGTATCAACAAAGCCATGCGAGATCTGACAAGTATGAATATCAAGTTCGGACCATACATGACATTATTTTGGAAAGTTGTTTGGTGTTTCATACTTCCTTTTGGTAGTATGGTAAGTATTTTTCTTAGGTTTCGTTTCTACAAAAATATTCTCTCTAACTAATATCAGAGGTTCTTGCAATAAGTTGCAAGAATCTCAATTTTAAAAGATAAATAAGAATCTTGCAATAAGTTTCTGAATCTTATTTAACAAGCCTACTCGCTTAGTAGCATAGCCAACTGATTACATCATAATATGGTACGTGTGACGTATACACCACTTTGTATAGGGATAGCTCAATAATACAGCGTTTGGTTAGTTAAAGTGCGCGTGCGATGCGCCCGTTCACACCGATATCTAGCGTCGTAATGGCAGAAATGAGCGGGCCGTAACTTAACCTTTATTTTCTATACAGCACAGCATATTGTACAGAAACATTTCGTAAAATGTCTAAAAGAGTTTAAATAAAAATAAAAAGCTAAAAGTAGCTGACTTACATAAAATACACTCAAGTAATGTGGACAAAAAGACTTTCTTAGTTCTTCACCTGTAGTTACTCCCTTGTTTGGTTACAGTAGCTGTATTTTTTGCCTAAGGTTCTATGAAACCCGTAAGAGAAGAACTTTCCGCACTTGTACCAAAAATAACTATTATCTATGCGAAATGATGATATGCAGTCTCTAACAGCACAATGTACAACATTTTCTACTCACTAAATCACTACAACAGTCATATGAAATATTTAACGTAAATGTCGCAACTCTGAAGTTTATGTCCCGAGCGAGTGTATGGCAGCTCGGGCTCGCACCCGCCCCTCCCTTGCCTCGCACACCCCGCACTATTGCTCTTTAGACGTGTTCGGTGGCCGACTGTAGGAATTGTCGGTTAGAGTGTGGTAAAATCTTAATATTTTAAGGCTGTCGTATATGTTTGACGGATATATCCACTCAGACAGAGAACTCCCGAATTACAGTTATAGTAAAAAGAAAACTAGTTATATTATACAATATTTTACTTTAAAATTATTTTTTCTTCTTCAGGGTATCCTCGCGTTTGTTTTTATCCACTGGTCGAGTGCGTATTATGAAGATTACGTATTTCCATGGACCGCTAATCTTTTTGGTTGGGTGATTGGGATTTCCACCTTAATTCCGTTCCCTATTTGTTTGATATATATCAGCATGCAAGGATACGTAAGTATTGTTCAAAGTATTCTTTATATCTTCGAAGACTTTGCGAACACCCCTTATGTCCACTTGCACTAAACCAAGTTTTGCAATGCAAAAGACTTAATGCATTGTGTTGAGAGTGTCTTATCAATTTCAGAATTGGTTTAAGACATAGGTACTTAAGTTCAGTGTAAGTGGACATTAATGTTACTATTGTGTCTAAAATTTCTTAGCAAAATAATATATTTTCCAGCGAGGCAAAGCGTTATTCACACCCACCAATGCGTGGAAGCGATCTGTTGCATCCACTGTCCAGGTCCCTCGGCTCACCAAAATAAGGTCAAAGAATGTAGCCTATGACATTTTTTATGGTAGCTTTCGCTACATCATGTGACAATTACTTAATTTGTTATTTGTGAAGTCAAGTGACGGCAATGATCGTGCATTTTCTGTTATTTGGTTGTTTTTTGGTGGCATTTACTGTATTAAATCTTTGAGAAGCGATATAAATCTTTGGAAAATAACGTTAATTTGTAACTTTTGATAAACGTGGCAAATGATTACTATATCTAAAGAGGTATGTGTATTAAAATAACTTGTACGAGTAATTTGTTTTTATTTATGTATTTATTTTGGCTTCGGAATTTTAAATATTGTATTATCACTGTTGTATTTCTTTCCTATTTGTCAAATTTTAAACATGTGATTTTTTATCGCGTTAGTCATTGTTTACAAGACTTAACTTCCCGTGGCCGAACGGCTACCATACATGTTTGAGGTCTCAGGTTCAATTTCCGTGCCGGGAGAAATATTTGTATTATGGCCTACATATGTTTCTCTGAGTTTGGGTGTATTTTGTAGTTGTTTGTGTGTACATGGTACTCGCGATACTGGGTTTCCCTAATGTGGGAGTACGAGTGTGTGCGTTATTAACTTATTATATTTATTATTATTAGAATAGGATAGAATATAATAAGCATGACATAATAAAACCTTAACAATGCTAAGACATAGTTAAAGATACAATCGGCGCCCTTATCGCTAGACAGCGATTTTTTTATAACATCAAGTGACGGGACGAACAAGTCGTGCGCCTGATGGTAAGCTACACGCCTGTCCATAACAGTTACCTGCTGTAACAGTGTGTCCATAACAGTTAGTGCTACCCAGAGCTTTAGATCGCAAAGATCTGAGGGGCGCTATCACTGCGCCCGTCATCCTGAGACATAAGTTGACAAGTCCCATGTGCCTGTAATTGCACCCTTACCCTTCAAAACCGGAACACAGTAATGCTATCATTAATGCTTGGCGACAAAAATGGCAGTATTATCCAGGACGAACTCTTTCACAAGGATCTCTTCCAGTAAACCTTACAAATTATTACGGAGTTGCAGGTTAAGGGCAATTAATGGTACACAAGGCAGCTAAACGGTGTATAAATTGAACCGAATACACTTTTAAACAAACTTCGTAAAACTTACTACGTATATAATATAATAACACACATACACGTACATTATATAGAATATGCTTGTGATACATGTTATATACACCCACATTATTATTACTTGATAAAACAAAACGTACTCTGCGGTATTTTTTGTCTATGGCACACGACAGAAAAGTTTGTGGTAGCACTAAAAAAATGTGGGAGTATGAAAGTAGCTTTGTTATGGTCAATTAAAAGTTTGGAAAGACTATACGAACTTGAAACTGGTAAGTTTTTAAACCAGTTTTATCGAAGAAAAAACTACCTATGTTGATTTAACACTAGTTACAACGTTATTCAAAGTTACTCTGGTCAAAGTCATTATTTAACAATTATATATGAATAAATAGATGTCAATACAATTTTAGTGAAAGTTTGTTACTAATCTTGCAATAGGTACCGTATTTTTACACACCAGGTAGGTTTTTTCCTTCAATATTGCTTTTAAATCATTTATACATATTTAACGAGTATTTCATCGGTAAATTTCATTTAACCACATTACAGTATAGCATCAAAGACAAGTGACAATAAGCACCAGCGATGGTAGCGCCATCTCAGATTATCTTTGCCTGTTGCTCTCGATCTCGCCGAATCTGGACATTAATTTAAATAACTGATACTGTAATTTTTTTGTTCTTAAGTTAGAAGTTATTGTAGTTGCTCGTGAAAACAAACAACTTAAACTAACAATTTCAGTACAGAGTACTAAAAAAACAATCTCAAAAGTCACTAATACCCTATTTACTACCCTTAGAGGTGAAATATTTTCTTCTAGTTTAAATGGGACCTCTTCTGGGGTGTCCTCTTTCCAACAAATAAAATCATCAACATCAGTTCAATGCCGGCCGGAGTTAGGCTCAGGCGCGGCCGCCGTGCGTTTCATAGTGTCAGGGTTCATAATTATAAACGCGTACATTACAAAAATTCCCGCGCCCGGAACCGGAGCCTCTGTGTGGCCAGAGCATTATCGCGTAACATACATACAAAAAAACAGTCGAATTCAGAACTTCCTCCTTTTTTGAAGTGGGTTAAAAACATAACAACAATGTTTGATAGAAAATCGTAGCACTAGTTAAGTCGTATACGATTATTCCTGGAAAACCCCCGACTCAGCGCTGCCGAAAATGCAACCGATGCAATTAGCAAATTAATGCAATATTTATTTTATAATTCGAAGATCAGACTTGTCGTGGCATTGGTACAAACTTGTATTCTCTTAATTAAATAAATTTTATTTTTAAAAGGGCTTTTTTCGGTCGCCCGGACATAACTGGCGCAGTCGGTAGGATCGCGAGATCTCGGTTTGAATCCTTCGAATCAGTGTTCTACCGAGATAACGATTTTAATCGATAGTCGCGATCCAAGAAGGACCTAGGCGCGTTTCCAATAACCTGACTGGGAGCGTGCTGGCGAGACGACCGAGCAGACCTGCTGGACTCTGGAGCTGTAGAGTGTGCTACATGGCAAGTCGCAAGAGGCTGGAGATGCAGTGGACCCTTTGGTAAGCTACTATCGTTTCCCTAGTGTTCCTGCTCTATTTCCCGTCTGTTTATAAATTTTACATATTTAAAACGTGTGAGTTCTCCCTATACGCTTTATATCGCCGTGTAGAGAATTTCATAATCGATTTGTAACCCATTGTTTAAGTTAATTCTCGGAAAAATGCCGTTCGCAAGTTTCGATGAGTCATATAGAATGATTTCTGACTTAATACCGAGGTACGATGGGAACCGTCGTACACTCAATTATTATATAAAAAAAATGGATCGTTTAGTAACATTGCTTTAACAACCCCATCCACCTTCACTAGTACTATTAATTAAAAGTAGATTGAGCGGAGCTGCAATTGACGCGATAGCGTACGAGGACGTTTTAGATTCGTGGCTGCAAATAAAAAACGCTCTTATAAGACGATTAGGAGAACCTAGGAATGAGATACAGGTTATACAAGAGTTAACACAGATACTTAGAAACAAATACGAAGATGCTGATATTTACGGCAAACGGTTACGCGAGTTGTTGGACACTCTGTATTCAGTAGGCAAACACGCGGACAAATCATACTACGAAAATATGGTCATTGAACAGTATGTAAACCACTTAGATTTTCACATCTCGATGGGCGTACGTATTGCAAATCCGACAACCCTTGAAGAAGCCATCGTTGCTGCTAGACAGGAGGAGGCTAGACACTCATGCAATCGCAGCATGGTGAACAGTTTTCCGTCTACGTCACAATTTAAACTCAAGCTCGAAGCACCTAAACCTAATTTTAATAATTTTAAGCCTATATTTCGCGCTCACCGCGGACTAAAACCGAACAAAGACAAGATTAAAGCCGTTCTGAACTTTCCAATCCCAACCACTCAAAAGGAAATTAAAGCATTTCTAGGTTTGGTTGGTTACTATCGTAAATTCATTAAAGATTTCGCGAGACTTACAAAACCTTTGACATCGTGCCTCAAGAAGAACGCGAAAGTCATTCAATCTTTTCATAAATGCAAAAATATCCTTACTAACGCACCACTGTTGCAATACCCCGACTTCGAACAACCCTTTGTCTTAACAACAGATGCATCCGATGTAGCACTAGGTGTTGTTCTATCCCAAGGTAGCATTGGATCAGATAAACCGGTAGCTTACGCATCCAGAACACTTTCAGATACTGAAACACGATATTCGACAATAGAGAAGGAACTATTGGCGATTATCTGGGCCGATAAGTACTTCCGACCTTACTTATATGGTCGCAAATTCACGATCTACACAGATCATAGACCCCTGACATGGCTTATGTCTCTGAAAGATCCTAATTCCAAATTAACGCGATGGCGCTTAAAGTTAGCAGAATATGATTACCAAGTTGTCTATAAAAAAGGCAAACAAAACACTAACGCCGATGCCCTTTCCCGAGTTAAAATTTTTCATAACAGCATCGATTCACTAGCGGTCAACTTTGATAACGACGACGATAACATTATTGATAGGATCTTTGACGATGTACGTGCTGAAACTGACAACATAAATAGAACCTTGACGGCAGATAATGCTCAAGAAATCTTAGAAAACGAATCTGATAGTATAAGCATGGTGACATCACAGTCAAATGATATATATAGTAGCCACAGCTCATACACAAGACGATGATGAAAACAGAGGCATACCTATCATATTTGATGCAATAGATAGACAACTGAAGCAATTCCATATTAGGACCACCCCAGGCTCAACATATCGCGTAGATAACAGATCAACAAATTCTAGAACAGTAATCAAAGATGATTATCACTAGTATCGGGTTTCTTACCACGGTATGACTTCTTTTTATTTTCCCGATATTTCGTAAGAAACCCGATACTAGTGATAATCATTTAGTGAATAACCACGAAAGTCTTAAAATCTATATAGTAATCAAAGATGTTTTTATTCCTACAAATAACACATAATCTGAAATAGTCAAATTTCTTAAAGAACACACTATTCCGAATAGAGTCTTTCATTGTTATTTCTACGACGATAAACTATATTATGATTTCTCTAAAGTCTACACCGCTATATTTAACGACAGGGGCCCTAAGCTTATCAAGTGCACATCTGGTGTAACTCTGGTGGAAAATAAATCCGAACAAACAGAATTAATTAAAAAATACCACGAAGGCAAAACTATACACCGTGGTATTCAAGAAATTTACAAACATTTACATAGGAACTATCATTGGACTAACATGCTACTTACAATACAATCGTTTATTAATAAATCTGACATCTTGGTTTTAAGACACAACCCGTTGAGACCACCATTAGCCTTGACTGAAACCCAGACAAAACCAATGCAACACCTTTTCATGGACCTTTACTGTTCTGGAGGAGCCACTTTTCTAACTGTTATAGATAACTTCTCTAAATATGCACAAGCCATTCCCCTTTCAGCGACCAGCAGCGTTCACGTTGCTGAAGCTTTACTAAAAATATTTTCCATCCTAGGACTTCCTCTTCAATTAACTACCGATTCGGACAGTAAGTTTGATAACGATATGATTAAAGAAATTTGCGCATCCC